TCGGATACATTCTCACAAGTAAGCAGTTGTATTAATTTATACATGCTTGTATGTCTTACATAATATTTCTTAATTAGTTTTAACCTTATATCAATATAGCAAGGACATTTTAAAATAAAATGGAACTCATCCTCGACATCATTCCGGTCACATACTGAACACAATCTGTTTTGTCTTTCAGTTCTATTATATCTGCCACACTCAATATTTAACTTATGTGCAGACATTCGAATTTTACATAATGATTGATTGATTCACATGTGAAATGAATTACAGAATGAATAATCTTTTTAATATTTCACTGGTAATAATGTAATAAAATGTAGTATTCCTTTACATTTTCTCAAGTCCATAGACGATTGTTTTTGTGTTAATCAGAACAGATACGGCCATGTTCATCACTGAAAACTGTGCTGATTTAGATCACATTATTATATAAACTTTATTTGTTTTTACAAAAATTATAAAACAAGTTTATCAGCTTATATTAATCACTCTTGTTGGCCCGGATAGAAGCACGTGATAGGTCTTAATGCGGGAGGAAACCAGAGTACCCGGAGAAAACCCAAGGACAAAGGACATGGTCGGGAAGGTGACCCCATATTACATTTTCACTTCAGATCTAGATCTCATTATTATGTAACATTCTAATCCAGGTATCGTTAAGTAAACGTGTAAGTTTCAATGAATCATCGTGGTCATCCGGGTATAATATGTCATATATTATTTCATTCTTGAATCGCTATACATGATATAACTCGAACCGTGATACCACGTACAAAGCAACTATGATAAACAATTTTCTAGATTGTTCATACTCCCCAGCAGCTAAGGTCATTTGATGAAGGTGACCAATGATAATGAATCCTCTCAAGGGCAACTATCAAGTGACAAGTACATAATGAAGGCCCCATTTCAGGACATTGTTGCCAAGCTGGACATTCTTACAGCGTAAGGGAAGTAACTCTTGATACACAACTGGTTTTTCAAAGAGCATCCTTGAATACTTCCTATCCAGGACTATTTCTGGCGAGTAAATTAAATTGAATGCCTTGCTATTGTTTAGCCTATGACTTTTGATGACATATACTGTCAATTCACTAATTTTCGTTAAGTGATCAATTTCGTTGATGTCGCGGGTAGTCTTCATCCGCTAATTCATAGTTTCACGCAGTTATTACAACTTTGATAGAAAGCTATTTTCCGTTTGAGTGAGTACTCGTAATCCACGAATTCATGTACCCATGAAATAGAGTTTTGTCGGGAAACCACGAAATTTCGGCCCCACGAACACAACTAATTTCACTGTATACCAGGTTTTTTTTTCAAATATAAAAACGTACGAATGAAAGTTTATATATATATATGTCTGAATATTGATTGAAGTTACTATGACCATCGGTAGCAAATGTAATGATTTTTGGTTTAATTTCCTATTTCTGTAAAATGTGTAAATATGCTTATAATTAATGGGCTTCATGCACCTCCCAATTCGTTTACATGATATAGTTAATACCTATATGGATATCCTTCTTTTTGGCCCCTAATCATATGACGTCACCGATGAGTCCTAGAAAGACGAAAAAAACAACGGTATGGTGAAATTTAATTCATTTTATCATACTTCATGCACTGTATGTAAATTACTTAAATTCTACATGTGCAAGTGTATGTGGTTGGCTTCTTTTCATCTTTAAATCCCAATTAGCACGCCCGTGTATTGATACAGATAAAGTCGCATACATGTAAACAAAAAACATTGCATAAGTTGGACAACTTGTGCCCGATCCCTTTGTATATTAGATGCAAATAAAAATATGTTTAAATCAAAAAACATTAACTCTTTAGAGCTATAATTACGACAAAATACACCATAGGCATTGGCAATACTTAACATTTTGTCATGTTCCTAGACGATCGTGTTCGTGTATCACAGAGTACTCAAAATTGTGCTGATTTATGTCACATAGATTCCTGCAGGTGGGGGGTCGGGAAAACAATACACCTGCTGTTCCTACCCACTGCATGTATCGTAGGAGGCGACTAATGTGGAAACCCCTTGCATAATTTGGGGATTTGCTTTGTTGTCCTCTGTTTTGGGACACAAAAGCGACCAAAATAAATATGCTGTGCCCATTACAATATTTCGGATCTTTATCTTTCTTTCTACTTCTAACTACCTTTTATTTCCTAGCGCCTTGCTTGACAACACCTCATTTTGGCTTGAATGTTGAGCGATCGCCCAGGTGAGGAAGGCAATATGTTCTATCCCTAGGCCGGGACTTATCAAAGTCTTTAAAAATGGTAATTGTTATTCCCTGCTTAACGTTCAGCATTTTGGGAAATGGCAGAATCTTTGTTGTGTGTCCCAAAATCCCGTACTGTGACCTACGGAAACAGATGCTTTGGGAGGGTTTCGGCTACGTTGTGGAATAGCTTACCATCTGCAATTAGAAAGTCCAATACCCTTGCCAAGTTCAAGAGGGACATCAAAACTCTCCTCTTCACGTCTGCATTTTAGAATCTTATGTAAATACCACCCTTTTATTTGTTCAATTATGTGCACATTGCTTGCTTAAATGTATAAAAGTGATTGTAAGCCTTTGTTTTTTGTTTTCACAATTATAACCATTACTATTATCGATATTTTGTAAAGCTCTTTAGAGTAATTTTACAAATTATATAGGGCGCTATATAAATGTTGTATATTATTATTATTACTATTAACAACTGGTTCACCCGTTGTCAGTATAATGTGACCGGGCGGAATGCTTCGCTGGATGCCTTAGACATTAGGAATTTCAGTGGGATAGCACTATGAAGTCGGCATCAGATCCGCGCTATCACAAGGAGGCAATCACACCAACATACCCTACCTCCTGCATACACACACGCAAACATGCATACACTACACACATGGAGGCATGTCCTTAAACGACCTAAGCTGTTAAAGGACGTGAAACAACATTAAACAAAACAAAACTATGTTACATTATACATTTGTTGACTGGGTTTGAGGACAACATGTGTTATGTTAAACCAGAGGACCAAACTATAACACGAGGCCGAAGACAACAGTTTGGTCCGAGGGTTCAACATAACACATGCTGACCGAAAACTCAGTCTACAAAAGTTTTGTTATAACTTTTTCAAAATTTTTGACGTTTCCAATATGGATTGATCTTGAAAGAAAAACCGTGCTTATGCGTTGTGTTTCGCTTCAATATACTCTGGTATTAATTTCTCTGCAACTCTGATCACATTCTTGGTGTTTGCACTTATTAAGAATGTCATCAATTTCTGTAGCAGTGTAATCCGCAAATCTGTCCATGATTGTACATAAGGCAGCCGACATAATTATATAAACATTGCAGACGGCCGGAAGCAGACGTGAGCAATACTTCCTATAGGGATGCCACTATTGGTAATTGCTAACGGCGGAAGTTGCCGAGTAATGGCCGGGAAGTACCGAATAGTAATGAGCTGTGACGTAAGCAGTCAACATTTCACTCAAAGCTTTTTTCACTATAGAAGAGTATAGAGAATAAAAGGTAAAGGTTTAACAAAATTATGTAACCGTGATGATCTAGGTATCAATAACTAATCTCTTGTAAGTAAGTATCATTGTGTAATGGGTTTATCACGGTAAAATACGTAATACTGTTTCAGTGATATATCTGCAGTCATTATATATTACGTATAATTATGAAAGAGGATTCCCTGTGTAGAATTTCATAATTCCAACAGCTGAGGTCATTTAACGAATGTAACCAGTGATGATGGACCTATTCACAGTCATCTATTACGTGGCCAGTACACAATAAAAAAAACCTCAGGGAGCCGAGAATGTGTTACAGTTAGGATGAACGTATGTATAATGTCATTGTTACAGGGGGTTTATGTAAACCCCTTAAATGTAGAACATTACTCTGCACATCAGGGAAGGTCTAAACATACCAACAGTTACACAATAAGGCCTCTGTGTACATAGCTAATCTAGCGTTAAATCGTTTCTACTCTAAGAGATATATAACTATTGACGCCCAACTCGTTAGGGAAAAGTTCCGTTCAATGAACTTCATTTCTCATGTGTGCTCGGTAGTATTAACTGATTTAGCAGGTAATAATCTGAAGACGAAATATCAGTTACTGTCAATTAAAGTCAAAATAAGAATAGACTTTAGTGTAGTAGAAAGCTGGCTTAATGGTAAATGAAAACCATCCAACAGTTTTGTTTTGTCATAATGCCTCATTGTGGGTTGAAATCTACCAAAATGAAGTTAATCCCTCACCCAATCGGGAACCGTCGGCACTTTCCGTGAACGAGAGAGAATTTATTTTATCGTTTACGAAAAGTACCGACGGTTCCCGATTGTCCCCCACCCTTAGGTCAATTGTTACGTTAATATCTACTCGACATGTTGTGTGTGGGCGAGTGTATGTGTCACTTAATTGAAAAATAAATGCTTCTAATTTGAAGCAAAAATACTAATGGAGATATCTTTCTAATTTCAAATTAAATTACAGGTGCACGTTTCCGTTTGAATTGATTCATATCGCATTATTCATTTCATATAGCATTTTGTAATTTAGAAATTCACATTTTATACAATGAAAACAATTTCAGGATTCCACGGAATCCACCTTATCCTATGCCACCAGACTAAGTAACTCCACGTGTGTGCATAGCATTGTAATAGGAACGGGAAAATTCACGACCAGACAAGAGTTCGAACCCGGGACCCTCCGAACTCTAGAAGGTCGTACTATCAATTGAGCTATCTGGTCGCCAAAGATCGACCCAGTCCAGTTCCGCAACATTATTATGCTATCATACATTTAATATGGCGCCCTATCTAGCTAGAATAAACCATTCAAATGCGTTTTATAATATATTTATGTATATTTTAACCATCAATACGACTTAAGGAATACACAGCTGTCTCATCAATCTCTAACTACTGGTCCTATGCCTCCAGACTAGCTACCTCCACAAGTGTACGTACTAAAATTGCAACGATACATTAACATGACGATACGATACGTATCAGGAATTTGTAATCACGATACGATACGTATCACAATATATATATAGTAACAATAGAAGCAAAGAGAAAAGATCAATCTTTATTAATCATGGTAGTTAGTATAAAGACAGAAATCCGGTTACGACGAAGACTATAAAATGTTTTTATGATTTATACACGATGCAAGGATAATCGGATAAATTTGATAAAAAACGATTTGCTCTGTAACGAAGCTGATGTACGCGTTACCACTATCGACATGTTACGTTGAGCTAAAGTCGATGTGTCCGACCGTTTCATTTCAATTCGTTGTCACCATTAAGGTTAACGAGATATTTGTATTCATTTCAATTCGTTTTCACCATTAAAGTTAACGAGATATTTGTATTCATTTCAATTCGTTGTCACCATTAAAGTTAACGAGATATTTGTATTTATTTCAATTCGTTTTCACCATTTAAGTTAACGAGATATTTGTATTCATTTCAGTTCGTTGTCACCATTAAACTTAACGAGATATTTGTATTCATTTCAATTCGTTTTCACCATTAAAGTTAACGAGATATTTGTATTCATTTCAGTTCGTTTTCACCATTAAAGTTAACGAGATATTTGTATTCATTTCAATTCGTTGTCACCATTAAAGTTAACGAGATATTTGTGTTCATTTCAATTCGTTGTTACCATTAAAGTTAACGATATATTTGTATTCATTTCAATTCGTTGTCACCATTAAAGTTAACGAGATATTTGTATTCATTTCAATCTGTGTGGAGCATTGGTTGCGTATTAATGTTCAGAAATTCGATCCCAGGGACTAATTGGTCGCTTTTCAGAAAGGTTCCGAATGTATACAACATTCATAAATTATTTAACACTTATTTCTCTGCATTGATATTGGCCATAGAATCATATTCATTAAAATCGGTCACTTCCGCATTCGTCGTGCGCTTGTCAAGACACGAATCGTAAATGTTACTGTTCCCAGTGCTTTGAGCTTTAATGTTAGCCATAGTATCATATTCCAAGCAATCAGCCGTTCCGTTATTCCCGAGAGAGTCCGAACGGCGGAAGCCATCGTATGTATCGTCACGTACGTTTATGTCACGTGTGTGATCGTAGATATCATCGGTTTGATCGTCCGTTTTCTTCTCGTTGAGTTCGTTATAGATGTCGTCTGGTGGTGTTTCTGCGCCAGTCGTATTAACTTGTTTACTCTCTGTTGTGTCATTGTTGGATGAAACTGAAAGGGTTTCAGTTTTTGTTTTAGAAACATGATTTGGTTCCGTTTCAATGAAGCTCGTCTCGTATGACAATGCATTTCCCGATTTAAACCCTTGATTGGTTTCCGGTTTTGCCAGTCTTGAACCGTAGCTCATGTGTTTTATCAGTTTAGATGATTTCATTTCCCTAGTAGAGACTCGTTTCTTGTGGTATAATATCACGGAAACGACAACGATGAGAACAATGCCCACAGCAACGAAAGCCAGAGGCCACAAGACTGGTTCTGTTTCACCGAGACGAACTATAGGAGCGCCTGTGACGTCACGCGTAGGCGTTGTAACATCCGTTTTGACCAAAGTGGTGACATCACTCAGAGGCGTTGGAGTTTTTGTGTTTACGGTGCTACAAAGGGCTGGTAGAGACAAATTGCACGCCTGTACAAATAACGTGAAGATTCCTGAGTTATTTCGAACGGCAACGCAACGCCCGTGTTCCACTTCCCCCGGTGACTCAAACGAGAACGATGTTCTGCGGAAAACGTTTGTCCAGTAAGAATCAAAAGTTGTACTGGACGACTCAACATAACGAGTCAGAGAGGTTTCGTTACCAAAGAAAGACCTTAGTTCGGTACATTTCCGAGCTGCCTCCCACCATCCGCTCTCTGTTTCGCTAGGAATGATTTTTTGTTTGTTTTTTCCCACTTCATCACACACATAGTCCTTTTTGAGGGCGCAATCCACCATGTTTGTTTGCCGACTTGCTGTGTTGTATGTAGCACAGTCCCCGAGTCCAGTGCGGCTGACCGAGACGTTTACAGGTCTGTAAGTACAAAGTAAAATGATGGAGATGCTCGTAAAGAGCGTCGGCCCTGAACCGCACAGTGCCTCATAGCCCGACTGACACATAGTTCCTTCTAAAATCGAAGGGTGATAGAGGTCAAGGTCATCTTCGAGACAAAAGCACGTGTCGTTTGAGAGTCCAAACCTAGAGGAGTTACAAAAACGGTAGCACGACCCCAAAACATCAGTCTGATTATCAAATACAAAATGGCCTGTTGATCCAGCGAGAATATTTTCCGCTGTATATACTCGACAACTTTCAAATAAAAGTGTATCCGATGAGAAGGCGAACATTCCCACCCATGCCTCTGTGACGTTGTCAAGTGCGTGATTGAAATTCACACTGTTCGAGTCTACGTCACCAGTGACGTCACTCTGGATGTGACACTTACCGGAGAGAAACGCTTCATCCCATGACAACGGTGGCGTTACCTCGGTGAAATGTACAACGACACCGTAACACGTGTTAAAGAGTAGAAAGAATATTGCTACTACCAACATAATCCCGTTCGGAAAAATAGCTGTTTTCGTCATTAATATGAGCAAATTATGAGAATTCATCGATCAAACAAAATGTTCCTTGCATGAAATATAGTGTGAGTGAATGTTAATATCGACCAAGTATACGATGATAAAAACCTCGTGTAGGAGTGCCGTAAGGTCTTTGTGTCTTCAAGACAGTCAAGACTCCTTGGGTACCATGAAATTGTGCACGTGTATGACTGTTTCCGGTGCATATGTACTTACATTTAGTCACAACACATCGTAATTGAATGAAAATCTCCACACCAGTTTACTTCCGGGCGTCTGAGACAGGTTAACATTTTCCATATAACGACAAATATTTAAAGAACTTCCAAACGTCTATAGTGGGGGTTGGTTCCTTGTCAATCACATATTAAATTTCTACGAGCTTCCATACGTCTTTTAGTGGTGGGGGTGATTACGCCAAACACCAAAATTGTTAAACGGTTACAGCTGTTCACGAACTGGACCACCGTTCGTACACACAGCCATCTCACTATTTCAGATATCCTATGATTGTTTCTAACGTCATAGACAATCTGTAGCTTGTCCGGGACAGGCGGAAGTGACAGATTATGTGGCCATCCTGTGTCCAGTGTCAAGTTTCCGATGAGTGACCATCAAACCTACAATATAAATGTGTACTTACTTACTTTGTAACATACATAGATGTATTTCAATAACGCCTTAAAGGTACTGTAATTAAAGGCATCGAAATAAATTCTTAAGTCCGCAGGCACCTACATAACCAATCAAAGGTAAAATTTCAGAATTTGTCAAAACCGTTGAAATGAAATAAAATCTTACCTATCACAAGCTTTGTTCAATATTGTATAAACAGAAAAAGAAATTCCTTAAACAAATCCGATTTTTTTATTGTGATGTTACATTTCACGCGCACTTTTCATACAGCGTACCATATGTTGTGAGATGTTACATTTCTATACGTTACATTGCATTTCAAACAAATGCTTTACATATCTTTCTACTATTTGACGATAACGTGCAACAATCTAAACCTACGATCTTTGACAAAAGTGTTGACATCGATTGACACACACACCCACCCACACCCTCTCCACATCCCAGCCCAAGCTCCTCCGGACTTAAGCAAGACTACTCCTCAAATCTAAAACATCTGTACATCTGTATTTTATACAGGGAACCTGTGCAATATATGACATTTGAACCTGTCCAAACTGACACCTGTCTATGAAGGATTCCTGTTATAGTACTATTACAAAAACAACATTTTTTCATTATATTCAAATACCAGCCAATGTAAGTTACATAAATATACTTTAATTATTTTACAATAATTATGAAGCAAGTTATTTCAACTTATATTAATCACTCTTGTTGGCCCAGCTCTCATTGTGGGAGGAAACCCGCAGAAAACCAAAATGTTCGGGCAGGTAACCCAAAATCTGTTCACGTCCGATCGGGGAATCGAACCCCGGCCGCCACGGTGAAATGCGTTATCCACTGCGCTACCCGACCACCCGACCACCCCAAAGTCTCACCATGGCTCATTATTTCGTTATAACTTGCTTCCCTTTTGTACCCGTTATGATAATACGTATGGTGTTTTTTTAACTGATCATGTCTACTTAATTAATATTGACATCACAATACCAGTGTTACGTGACATCATTATGTCTCCTGAATGTGAAAAAGGAGGCAAGGCTAAAACAATTTCACGAAGAAAACACATTTTACTGGAGAATACCACAAACATTCAATTTCGTTATGATTACAATAACACATACGGACTGTTAAACTGACCCTTTGATATAAAGCCTAAAGACTTACAAAGTAGAAACGTCACTGTAAGATTAGAAATGAAATGAATCACAAATTAGACTGTACAGCAAACGTGATAGTTTATGATGAAGTATCAATTATGGTGCCCTCTATGTATTAACGTATAACAATACACAGCACTACCAGAATCAGGGATGTGTACTACACATCCCTGCCAGAATGTACTGTAGTAAAAACACAATAGGTAGATACTTACATTTCTATATAGGTCTCTGCAATAAGATATCAGGGTCCTAGAGGTCCTTTAGATCTTAGATCTGATGTTGAAATTTCAATCACAGAGTCTGCTTCGCCGTTTGAATTCAACGATATACCAGTGAGCAAGACATAAAAATCTATTTTTTCTTCCAAGTCATAACAGTTACGAACCTGGTCGTACAAGTACACACCGGAGCTAATATAGATTTCCCAGTCGTTTCTGAAAATTAAATACTCCTAAAACTATCACTCTTACTAAGTCAGCTCAACCAACATTTAAGTCATATTTTCAAATCCGATTTTCCTCATCTGTCTTCAAAATTCGTCCACATCTTTTTTGATTTTTTTTATCCGAAATTGTTGATGTTGAAGAGTAAAAGAAGATTTTTTGCTTGGAAAGTGTATATTTATACCTACATAGTCGATAAAATGTATCACTACCTGTCTTTATAAGTTGACAATTCTTTTGTCAAGTGGACCGAAACGCCGGACACCGATTGGTTGGTCACGGGTCAACGAGATACGCGGAGGTCGGAAATGGCCCTGGGCAGAGTTTACAAGGCCAATTGGACATATGACAATAGCTATGTGTCTGGGAAGGGCTGAGTCGGTCTATATGTTTATCTATATACATTATCTTTTGCTCTGGTCAACGTTGTCGTCTGGGGTCCTTACAATGCTACTTTATCATATAATAATCTCTAGTACGCATGCGTGAAAGATTTAGTGACAATGATAACGTAAATTCCATATCCGTGGCTCGAGGTACCGGAAATGAGTATCACGTGCGACACCGGAAAGTATCACCTTATTTAATATAATACAATATTACTGTATTTGGTATAAAAATAAATAATTACCGTATTTGGTATACAAATTATTACCGTATTTGGTATAAAATAATTACCGTATTCCGTGTTGAAAAATACTACTTGTCACGTTATTTTTCAAGTTAGTAATAAATCTATTTTAATATTATTAATCTAATTATACTATACGCTACACCTATACCGCAACACGGACTAGTCTTCTTGTATATTACAGACTTGCACGGTTGATACACAATAAAGCGAAATGTATTCCATTCTCAAATTGTATTGATATGTTACAAACTATATACAATATCAAGATATATTGCTAGCTCATATATACAGGTACAATGAAATGATGTGTTAAAAAAGTATATACCAAGCGGGCTTCTGAGGGTATGGATAAAGCTGACTTGCGTTCATACCGGTATGAACATTGAAAAATGGCGTTCAATCCCTAATTATAGCAGTTCGAAGTTACTATGAAGTATACGTTATTGACCACGTGAGAGTCACGAGAAAAAGCAATAACTGCATTGATACTAAATATAACTGCAAATACGGGTAACTCCCGTTTTCGATTTGCGGTCTAATTTTCTTTTTCACCGTTTTGTTCACAATAGCAATTTGTGATTTTGAAAAGAAACAACATTAGGTTAAATTAGTACTCAAACCCGGAACTTCAGATCTAACAAGCCGAGCTGCCTAGTCACCGGATATCGACCCTGTCAACATCCGCTGCGTACGACTTCCCGACATAAAGTTTCCTTTACGTACACAAACTTTGTACGTTGCACACAAATTGTATACGGGCGGATTGGTCGTGTTGTTAACACTTTGGCCTTCCAAGCAGGCGGCCGGGGTTCGATCCTCGAAGTCGTCACACGCATGGAATATCAGAGAAAGTGTTTCCTCCTGCCCACACAACTCCAACAACCCAGGTGGAGTATAACATGGTCTGGGGTGGATGTTGCACTATTATGCTCTTTATTTCCTCCGAATCGAAGATTCACAAACAGAACAATACATAAATGCATTCATTGAAAATTGACAAAGTAACGTACATGTTGCATGACAATATATAAACTGAAATTCAAAAGATAAATTGTATTGTAAAGTAAGGGTTACGCTGGAGTTAACTCCCCCTTGCGTCTAAACGCTCCTTAACTTATCTTAAGTTACTTAAGAGAGATGACCATCATACGAAATACAGGAAAAGGAAGAATTTTAAAATTGACAAATTATAAGGTTTAGGTTAAGACATCATTTGTAGTAAAGTTTGCACATTCTGAATATACAAGTTACAGATTTTATGCGAAAGTCATTTAACTCCGATGAATTCAACTCATGCTCTTCATTTCCTCCAATGAGGATATGAAACAGATCATAATCAGACATGGAATGTAAATACACACTAAACATGATATCTTTTATATTTATAATATCATACCATAAATTATCTCTGAACTCTCCTGTATAATCACATTGTAGAACTATATGGGTGGCTATATCACTGTACATAAAGCCACATTTATGACATAATTCTTCACCCTCACACTCTCTGATAGTTACAATTAATTTCATGAAATATTGTATAGCTTCTCTTTTGGCTGGGAATTTAAATGCCAGTCTCCTTAATACATTTGGTACTAAATGACCGTGGATAAGAGAAAATCTAGTATAATCGCCATCATTGGCCATTCTTTCTCGCCACGCTTCTTTACTTTCACACGCCACATATATACATTTAGACGGAAAAGCACAGTTAGTTATAAAATCATTAAACACTTCAAACAAATTATACTTTTTCAGTATTCTTAGTATATCAACTGCGAACCCTTGTCTATTTGAACTTAATTTAGATTCTATATCAACGAGAGAATATTTTGTAAAGAATACACGAGACGCCAAATTCGTCTTATCTAATCTACATAATAACCTATACTTAGGAACAACAATTTCTTAGTGTCTATATAGGATTCTATACTAGTCCATCCAAGTAGACTTGTACACATATATATTTGGGTTTTAGTCTCTTTTTCACCATTAGGTTAAATTAGTACTCAAACCTGGAACTTCAGATCTAACAAGCCGAGCTGCCTAGTCACCGGATATCGACCCAGTCAACATCCGCTGCGTACGACTTCCCGACGTGAAGTTTCATTTACGTACACAATCTTTGTACATGTAGCAAGCACACAAACTGTATATGGGCGGATTGATCGAGTGGTTAACACTTCGGCCTTTCGAGCAGGCGGCCGGGGTTCGATCCTCGAAGTCGTCGCACGCATGGAATATTAGAGAAAGTGTTTTTCTCCTGCCCACACAACTCCAACAACCCAGGTGGAGTATAAAATGGTCTGGGGTGGATGTTGCACTATTAAAGATGCCATTGGAAGCACGGTCCCACTACAAACAGAACACAATACATCTCCAGCACACACGCAGGCATACACACATAGGGAGATATTAGCCAGGTGGCATTCGACTAGTAGTTAGCGCCTGATAAGGCAACTCCTGCGAATTCCTCAAAACTTGTATATTCTAATTGTATTAATTGTATATCTATGTATTGAAAAGCGCGTATTTCAGCTAGATGTTGCCCTATATCAAATGTTGTATATTATTATAATTAATATTATTATTATTATATCATTTCAGAGTTTCTATCACGTCATATAAAGCGTCATCGGGTGCTTTACTTTTCCTAGGGTCGCCACCGATTTCGTCATACAGAACATCCGGGTAACCAGTGCGGTCATACATGGTTTCCGGTTTCGATTCTTTTTCGTGGAGTTCGTTATACGTTTCCTCATTAGCTGTCATGCTATCGTCCTCACGATTCGGAAAGGTACTCGAACTGACAACCACAGCTTCAGGTTGTGCTTGTAAGTCGGAGATTTCTTCATGAAATGCATCTGTCGTTGTCACAGATACCTTACTTTCCGCAGCGATTTCCATGTACGCATGCTCTGGAATAGCATTACCTACTGGTGCAAGCGAAGTGTACCGTTCATGTTCTGCTTCTGCGTATTGCAAAATGTCATCCTTGGGAACAGTCGGTACTTGCAATGCTTCTCCGGTATTAACGATTGCGTTGTTGACCACTTCCGGTTTCGGTGGAGGTTTATTTTTTTCTGACTTATGTGATTTCGCTGCGGTCTTAATGAACCGTTTTCTATAGCACATAACTAAAACTGTAAAGATGATAAGAAGTATTCCCAGAGTCACGTAGACTACTGGCCATTTGCTAGAAGTTTCCACAGCATAAACTACACCAACTCTACCGGAAGTGGAACTATTTTCATAACCAATTGTAGTGGATCCAACGATGATGTCATTGTCAGGTAAGGAAAAGAAGGCGGAAGTGGACTCCTGTACTGGTAATGTAACTTCCTGATTCACAGAAAAACAAAGTGCCGGAAGTTTATCTAAGCAATCTCGAAGAAAAAAATTCAATTCTCCAGATTCACTTCTGACAGCGACACATTGAACATAGCTAGCTTCTTTTCCCGGCGACGCAAAGGAAAAAAATTGTTTCCGGAACTTGTTTGTCCAATAAGATTCTACGGTAGTTGAATTTGGCGATTCCACATGATGGATAACTGAGGATCGATTACCGAAAGCATGCGCTGAACTTTGACACATGAGAGCCGCGTTCCACCATGAATGCTCTAAGTTTTGGAACACGACTCTGCGCTGTGTAGTGTTTTCTGTACAGACGAAATGTTTTGGTGTGTTACAATTATCCAGCGTGGTTTCGCTCCCTCTGACGTCATAAGATACACAGTTGCCAGGGACCCGGATATCAACCTTGGCGCCAACAGAACGTTCACGATACATGCAGAGGCACCGCAAACCAGTCTGCTGGATCATTCCTCCCCCACAAACACCGTCCCCTGGTGACTTACAAAACCATATCCCTGTAAAACTATTTACGTTGCAAAGCCCGGAACTTCTTGGACTTAAAGTCGATAGACAATAACACGTGTCCATAGATAGCCCAAATAACGACTCATTGCAAAACGAGTAACAGGCGCCAATCGAGTCTTCCCCTTCTTTTAATGAAACTTTCGGAATATTTTCACCATTTAAGGCAATTTCTTCAAACATAAAGCAGCCATCAAATTTTAAGAATTTCGTCGATATTTCGTACAATCCGACCCAAGCTTCCGGTACGTCAATGTCTGTTAACGAAATGTTAGCGTGTACGCTTTCAGGTGCAACATAACCTGTGACGAAATGTGACGTAGTACACAGACCTGAAATAAAAGCATCACTCCATGATAGCGGTTTTGTGACATGCCTGAATTCCAATGTAACGGCAGAACACTTGACGACAAACAGGAAAAGAACGTGTAGAATCATGTTTGGTGTGGAGACTGTGTAAAAATTATATTTTGTCGCGTACAAACAGTGACGAGATCAACGTCATAGGAATTTGCTGGTCTTACACGGACATGTTGCCAATGTAACCAACAGAACGGATGTGTCATTGATGTAGAGAAATTTCCCTTACGATGGCACAAACCTTTTGGAATGAAGCGAACATTAAGTTGATATCCTCTTCAATAATACTTTTCTTGATTTTGAAATATATACCTTCACCAACACGTCAGAAAGCACAACAGTATGCAGTTCATTTAACACTCACGTGCTGGCCAGCTCGCGATAATAAAGAAAGGCGACCATGTCCTTACTGTTCGTTGCCATGTATGACTGAGGATTTAATGCATACGTGTGTACATATCCGAACTCGTATCAACTCAATCACAATGCGATTTTCTAGGCTTTTTTGCCTGTATATAATAAATATATGAAATATCAATGTGCTAATACCGACATTCAATTTCCGGACCAGCATCCCGGTTCCGTTTCCGCTCATTACTTTTTTACAATGTTCATACCATGTGCATAATCTAAATCTATATACAGACCAGAAAACTCTAGTAATCCATTTGTGGGATAATATATTTCTCCAAACGTGATTACTATTGGTGATTTAAATGAAGACATGTTTTAAAACGATTCAAGACAATCGGGAACCGTCGCCATTTTCCGTAAACGAGAACTTCTCGTTTACGGAAAGTGCCGACGGTTCCCGACTGCGATTCAACCCGGACACGTTTTGTCAGGATTACTGTTAACGTTTGGACTTAGAAATGTAATGCGAGAACCAACTTCAGTTTGTAATACTAGATCTAGTCTACTTGATCCGACTCTATCAACTGCCCCAATCACAAGTATCGGGCTCATGTTTTAACTGTCGACAGAACATGAAGTGATCACGATGGTAGACTAGCGTCTATTGAAATACCCTTTAATACGAAACCTGTGTATTAACGCAAAATATCGATATTTCGAAACATTTTCTTCAGGTTGGTAAGTATGGATTATGAGAAGTTCTTTTTACACAACCAACACAATTTTCTATGTGACGTTTCGATGACTAGTACGATATGTACACTGTCACCTTCATCAGACAAATGACCAGTGAAGCGTATGCACACAAAGGTGTGCATTCGCTGTAAGCGTATACTATGTACAACAACTATTGTACAAAAGCTTACAGCGTAGCCGAAATCGACAATCGATTTTGTGGAAAACTCGTACACATTTTACACCTGTGTGTGCATACGCTTCACTGGTCATTTGTCTGATCCAGTTCCAGAAAAAGTTGTTCAAAAGAAAAAGTTGACGAACAGACGACAGTTGAAGCAATAGGCATAAGCTCATGTGGCCGCTAAACATGAAAAGTCGAAATCAGCATCATCAGCAGGAATTCTGTAGAACAACCCTAGCTGCATCAATTCTTCCTAATCACCTGCACAGGTGGACAAGTGTACATCGTCTCTATATCTCCTGCCAATGTCAGAGGTAAAAAGGAATTAAAACCAGGTTTGTACTGTGTAGTGTTACTGGTTCAAAAGGGTTCTAAAAGTGTGTAAGCAGAGGTTGTCTCCCCGTTGGGGCAAAGCTAGATAGGGGAAATAGATGGGGTTATTATTTTAAGACCACTCCTATGGGCGAGGGGTGGGTTGAGGTGGGGTGGGGGATGGTGGCTGGGATTGATGTATGGCTAGAAAACAATGACTTTGTCAAGAAATGTTTGCCTCGTCCTTGTTTTGCTTGCTCTTTCACATGTACAAGAAAATGAACAATAATAACACTTTGTAGATTTTCAGCAATATTGTATTACATATTTTCATGTATACATTTGATAAAATTTAAATACATCACAGTATAGCATAACCCCCTCTCTCGCAAAGGAATCTATCCTTTAAGTTGAATATAGCCTCTCTTCCATTACCTCTCACTCAACAAATAGTCCTTTTAACCTTAACATTAAATAATTACTTTTTCCCATATTCTTCCTCACAACAAACATGGTTTTCATTCATGAAATTAAAAACGATTTCTTTCCCATATATTCTCTCATAACGAAAAAGCTATCTAACTTTTTTATTTTACATATTTATCTCAAAATTAGTTAAAATTTATCTCGGCAGTTAGGAGTTGAAGTTCGATTTTCAGGATTTATAGTTACAGCTTCAGTGAAAGAAGCATGCATGTCCACTAAAGGTGTTTGTCAATTTTAAACATAATTACTGGTGTCTCCTGTTGGAAGTAAAAGGTTTAACATCCCTGGCCCTGCTGGAGATACACTTTTACACTTCTTATCTAGATGAGAAAGCTATATAGAATTGTAGAGTGACAAGACAGCAAATCTTAACTCTTGGAATATCTGATAAATTTGCAACTCAACAAAGTCTGATTATGGACTTGAAGAATATTTACAAACCAAATTCTGTCTTTTGCCCATGATTAACCATTCCACCCATATATAGCTTGAATAAACTCTCCCATAAATTGATCTGGGTAAGTCCATTATGTTCTATAGTGGTAAAAGGGTTCAATTTGTTTTAGAATTTCAATGTCCTCATACAAGCCACTGTTCGTGTGATGATTTAATTTCTTTTTAATTTTAATGTCCTTGTAACAGTTAAGCTTGTAAGAAGACAGTTCCTGTTATGACTTTTATTTAATTTTTTTATTTTAATGTCTGCATACCAGCTTATGCTGTAAAAACAGAGTGACAGCTAAGCTCGTAAGAAGACAATTCCTGTGATAATGTGCCAGGTAACACAAGCTAACATTGATCCGGTAATGCACTAATCCCATGATTTTGTCCATCGTAACAAATACATCTAGCAATCACATCACTACTTTGTATGTAAGTCCGTGTTTTTACGACAAGACAACGCTGATTTAGATCTTGGTAAACTTGCATAAGTAAATGTACTTATTATAGCAGTGCATCCTCAAACCCTTTTAATACAATAGTGAATTGATGACTAGGCACACCAGTCATATATGCAGAAGTTTACAGTACTAAAACAGAAACTTCATTTTGCACACTAATACTATATAGCGGTTATATTTCGCGGGGTTTTTAATTTTGCTATATTCGCGGTATGACTAAAATCCGCGAATTCTAAACACCAACGAAATTATCGAAAATGTTAACCACTTTTACGGACCTTATCACAAAATGTTGAAAATATTTATAACCCAACGCTGTTATGCAAGCTTAAATGAAATCAAATCAGATTATCACCGGACAACTGGGCAGTCCATGTTAAAAAAAACACTTACATATAAGTGGCCACAACATATTTATGTGTACATAGTGGGTGATTAATTGATTATAGTTTACTCCTACAAAGGTACATGCACATTTGATTTTCTTTCCGAGTGAAATCACTGGCGGATGACGACCCTCAGGATCAGTGTTTTCAAACGGTTTACCTGTTTTTTGAGGTTTAACCCTTAAATAATGACTGTCAAAATATTTTGCACGACTCATGGGATTTGGGTGCACAGCGAAATTAAACCCCCGAATATGTACTGAATACGAAACCGGGAAACCATGATAAGTGATAAAATCAGCTTACAGCTAAAATATGTAGGTTAACAGTACTGAATTAAAGACAATATCACTGCAGTTGACATGATGAAATGTCCTAGTTAATGAGAATATCAAAGAAACATGTTGTCAGGAAACTTCCATTGCAGGTGGCGGGGCTAACTTTAGTCGGAAATTCTCTTCGTTAAATATAGTTGATCCAGCTCTGCTGGCCCGAGATGATTGGTCGGGTTTTGACAGCTCCGTCAATATGGCAATCTGTAAAACATAGCCAACTTTTTCAAAAAAAAAGGCAATTTGTGAAAAGTAACCAAAAAATATTTCTCAAGATGGCAATATGTGAAAAGTAAAACAATTGAAGAAATTCAACAGCCATAGTTTGTATCGGAAAGTTTTTGATATAATAATGATAAAACTTTTAATTCAAACTGACAAATGACGAAAACATACAGAGTTACTTACCCTTGATGGAGTCCTCATGGACCGGCGTACAAAATCAATGGCTTGTAGATGTTGAGGATCCAAGGACATCTGAAAGATCAAAGGACATTAAAGGTTAGGAGGTACAGATATGTAACTGTCAACGCTGTAATCATCCTTAACTTTGATCCAGAGGTGTTGACAATCTCCAATGTATTTCTGTTTGACCTTGGGAGTTTGATACACTACCTTAAGTTTATCTTTGAGATCAAATCCTCTACGTCCTCCGTTTGACCTTGAACTTGCAGCACATGTTCTCAACTTAGACTTTAAAATCATGATCTAGCCCTTCAGGACATGACTTTGAAATAGTGACTTCTTGCCAACTATAGCCATCAGATCCTAACAATGATAAACAGTTCCTGAGTGATCTACCACTCTAAGTCTAACAAAGCAACCAAGACCTTCTCTTGTGACCATGAGATGATGACAACTTTGTGACCTTGGACAATGATCTAACTCCTTGACCTTAAAAAGACGATTTACCACTTGGACCTTGAGGTGATGACCTTCCTGACCTTGAGATGATGACCTACCTCCCTGACCTTAAGGAGATTACTTACCTCCCTGACCTTGAGATGATGATCTACTTCCCTGACATTGAGATGCTGACCTACCTCCATGACTTTGAGATGATGACCTACATCCCTGACCTTGAGATGATGACCTTCCTGACCTTGAGATGATGTCTGACCTTGAGATGATGACCTGCCTGACCTTGATATGTTGACCTACCACAATGACCTTGAGAAGATGACTTACCTCCTTTGGTTTGTCCTTGAGGGTATGCTGTGCCGACTGTGTAGCAGTGGAGAGTGATCGGTGGAAACGACTGCTGTGGACCTGCCCTCGTTTAGAGTGACTACACAGATAACATGCCCACAACTCCTCGCCCTCCAGCATGTGGACAGAGCCCACTGACCGTAGACATCCCAGGTGGTAACCGTGGCCACACCTGTGGGCAGAATTCAGTTAGAAATTGTGTGGACCACATTTGCAAGTTTTTCAGTTAAAGTAATAGCAATAAAAAAAATCTAACTGATTTGAAACAAAAATCTACCTCTTTTCTTCAACAAAAAGTATTACATAATTAGACAGATACTGGGTCCTAGCTCATTTTATGATTGATTCATACTTTTAGTATTTTATGTCAGCAGTCGTCGAGCTACGGAATCCAGCCTAATGAAAATTTGAAAGTCAGGGACTTGGGATGAGGACATTAACCAAAACTATCTATATTTTCATGTTTTCACATAAACATGTACACATATTATGATAAACCATTGCATTTTTTGGACATTTGTCCACATATTACATACATGTATAATTATCTTAATGCATGAATGTAGAGTAATGCGAAGAATATACGTATGCTGAAAAAAATTCCATGGTTTTCAAATATGAAGATTCTGTAGTCATTGCCCTAGTTGAAATCTTTTCCAAATCTGATACCTGGGCCCAGTCGTCAAAATATGGTTAGTTTAATCACTATTTAACGAGATTTTTCAACATTTCATAATTCCCTTAATAAAAAAAGATAAAATCTACATGTAAATTAACTCTAGTAAATATTTGATATCTGGAAAGTGGTAACTAAATCAATGGTTGCTTTTTAAAGTTACACAAAAATTGAAATTTGCGCTAATCACTGATTAAGCTAATCATCTTTTGAACAACTGGGCTCTGGTCAAGGTCAGCTGTAGTTCTCACTCCTGTAATAAATGTTTGTTCTCGATAACAAACGACATTAGCTACGATAGTCTATGTGATACAGAAAAAACAATACATGGCTACCGTTATCAACATATATACCTGAACACAATGACGTGATCCACATCCGACTGCTGGGACACGAAAGGTTTATTGCACCGATCACAGTTATCTCCCTTTGTCACGAAACCCTTGGCTGCCACGCTGGTCAGACTTCGCAGGTGAACATGGATGTCATGATTCAATAAATTCTTACATGTTCTTCTTAGTGTCTGAAAAACAACACTCTCTTTTTAGCCAGAAGATTTGCAGTCTTGTAAAGTTTTTCGTTATTACGACATAACAGGTAGGGAAGCACTTCATTAACCCTTTCACCCCTATGTAACTTTAGTAGACTCTACCATGCATTGATCTGGATGAGTCCATTATGGTCTACAGTGGTGAAAGGGTTAATACCAGTAAGTTAATGCCATTTTAAATGATTCCTTAAATGAGTTAAGAATAATAGAAATGTGTATAGTAGGATTTTTTGTACGAACATAATTTTCTCATATTTTGCAACATAACGAAACACCAATAATGAACAGTTTTGACAAAATGTGGGTAAAATTATAAGTTTCAATATTAGTAGAAAATCATGGAAATGGCAATAGTGAATTTTGATTTTGAACAAAAATTAGCATTTAATTGTATAGCTTGTTACTTGCATCATTTACATTTACAAATATAAACTTTGTACAAGAAAGTTTTTGATATTGCAAAAATTCACGCTATAAGTCATTCTTGCTGACTGTGAATATTACCCTGTAACACTATATCTCAGGAAAAATTGAATCCAGACAGGTAATATAACTCATGTTACCTGCATAATACATCTATAATTTTATCACATAATGTACTGTGTTATCCAGTGAATATACCCATGACATATTTTTTTTGCGTATTAATCCCTGTAATATGACCTATACCATCAGCCCTGTGATTGGTTGTAAGCTTCAATTGTTTTAATTGTGACGTCACGCCTAGGACAAGTACATGACGTCACAGACTTACGCACTGTAGTCAATATGCGGCTTTTTACACTGCAAGGTTGCATGAAAATTGTCATTTTACACGAAGAAATGCCACAAACTTGATTATGTTATAAAAAGGATCTTTCACTCTTTTTCATTTCATATGAAATTTATGCAACTCATCACAAATTTTTCATTTTAGCTCGCCAGAGGCTCTCTAAATTGAAAAATTCTTAAGACTCGTTTCATAAATCTCATATGAAATGGAAACTCATGTTAGATCCTATACATAATTATATAGTAATAGTAAAGTTGAATAGTTGCTTAATTATTTACCTTCTCATAGTTATACTTTTCCAGCATGCCTAGTATCAAATCCTTGACCTCGCCAAACTTGCCTGTGCTATAGGCAGGATCCTGTGATTACAGACAAATCAATTGAATCAGATCAGATAATAAGATCATTTTTTCATTTTTTTTTAAATTGCTCCAATACTTTATATATCATATTTGAAGATATTTAAATTAATAATTAATACTGTATAACATGAAATATTTGTTGTGTATAAACATTTATGGTATTCTTAATAACAATAATAATTTGAGGTTCTTATATACCGCTTTATCACAACCTAGTTCATAGGTCGTCTCAAAACGGTTCACAAATTATTATCTGTGGTTATAGGGCCTTTGCAACCAGCCAATACCTTTCTCAACTCCCTGGGGAGCATACAGCTAGCATTCAACAATTCTAGCACTGCCCAACCACATACTCATTTACAGCTGAGTAGACTGGAACAAGCAGAGTTAAGTGTCTTGCTCAAAGATACAACACAGTGCTTAGTTGCTATGGAACCACAAAAATAAATACTTAAATATTGAATTGATAGAATTGATAATGTTGTTTACATGGGATGTCCACAGGAAATTGAACCAGAACATGATCTAATAAGCTTCTAACCACGTGAGAAAACACCCACAAACAATTCACTTTATAGTTTGGTAGATTTATAATTCGGGAAAATTAGCATAACAGTAAAATCTTCCTAAATACTAGAACAACATAAACAATAAGCCTCCTTTTTGAAGTTTCAAGTTAAAGTTTCAAGTTTTTTTCGAACTTTAGGCCATTGGTCTCTCAGTATACAATACATATTATACACAAATCATGGACAATGTACAGAGAATGAAGACAATCATATTCCATTATAATACCCTTAATTTGTTTGCCTCCTAGATGAATTTTCCTAGTAGACACAATTCTTTAATATTATGGACACTCAATAACTGAACGACTTTAAACACAGATGGGTTTTTTTCCAATAATAGCTTTTGATAAAAAATCGGAATCAGAAATTTTCGAATTTAGAACAGACCGATCGAAAATGAAATTCGTCCTCTACTTCAGAGGGGGAGTTACCCTGTTTACAATATCTACATTCTCCAGGTATATTATTATACCTTCCAACTTCTACAGCAAAATAATGTGTATAGATGTACGGATTTGAGTTAAACAAATGCGATATTTCTTTGGCAGATATTTTGTCAAGTAAAATTGTAATGACTCTCCAAAATCTATGATATGTTTACAAACAATCAGTGTGAAATTCCAGCAATGAATGCGACACTTTGAGTAAGTAACTTATGTTGAAGAGGTGGGACATACATTGATAGAGGGTGCTTATAAAGGATGGAACAGTTATTAGGTCATATCATTACACCTACATGATATAAGAATAAACACAGACAAAGGAAAGTGTATAGGCATAGCCTCTACAAATATACCAGTAACTCTCTCATCTGAAAGAGGGTATTGAAATTCTTAACTTTCAAACATTATTGTATTAATATGGGTGTTGTATTAATATAAAATTGATTTCTTCTTGAAAATGACAGAATCCTATACTAGACCACCACAAATTAAGAAACTTTCCCTTTGAAATTTTCCGATAAACTTAATAAATCATTACTAGAAAGAGACTGAATTTGATATCAAAGTTTTACTTTCTACACAAAACAATGTACGTATTAAACATGTCGCAACGTTTCAAGACCGACTGGTCCATTTATCAAGCTATGACTGAGTGAGCGATTTACCTGCATAATCTTCTGTAAAATCGCTGGGAGTTGAATGTATTCACTCATACTTGTCAACACATGTTGTGTAGGTTCTTTGAATTCTGAAAATCATTCAATGAAACAAATTGTCAGATCTATAAGCTAAGTGAAGTGAAGAAACTTCTGTTTTCGTTTTCTCACATTCAATGATAATGTCTCCTTTTCTATTTGGAATTCAAGACGTTTTATATAAATTTACTGCTAAAAGCACCTCTCCTACAATGCCATTCTCCCAAAAAATATCCTTTCTCTAATGACTGCCTCAAGTCTACTGTATGTAGACCACCATCTTGTCTGGTAATACATGTATATCTCTCGGCATCCAGTATCGAAACATTGCACCCAGTACCGAAACATTGCACCCAGTACCGAAACACTTTACCCAGTATCGAAACATTGCACCCAGTACCGAAACACTTTACCCAGTATCGAAACATTGCACCCAGTACCGATCATTGCACCCAGTACCGAAACATTGCACCCAGTACCGAAACACTTTACCCAGTATCAAAACATTGCACTTAGTACCGATCATTGCACCCAGTATCAAAACATTTTTGTAAATATTTCAATGTTTTATTGATCACAAGACTTTTTAGATCTTCTGAATTTTTTTCTAATTCTTTAGATTTATAGTGACATGTAGAAGTTTCTAAAGATTTCATTTAAATACAAACCTTCTAGTAGCTCCTTGTTTTGTACATCTTTAAGTTTTCTTTGGGGAGACATCATGGTTTCTAACAGAGGAAACCACAGCAACTAGAAAAGACAATCAGCACCATTAAAGATATTAACTCCGTTATATCACATAATGTACTGTGTTATCCATATGGCATCTCCAGTACTGGAAAGTTACTTAAATACAATGCACTTATTTCTCATAGTAAGAAAGTATTGCCATTTGAAGTCTAATATATATATCAAGGACAATTCATGTAATTCAAATGCCATGCATATAATATCAATGATCATAATTATGTATAATGGTGTCAAATCTACTACTACATGCACAAGAAATTACGTACCTCCCTTTGGGCCTCGTCCATTTTCCCAGAATTCCTCTGACAGAGCTGGACAATGACCACTACCTCAAGCTGCACCTCAGAGAACAGCATTATGGCATCTGTAACCATGGCAATGAAACAATTAATTTCTCTTTTGAACAGTCAAAATCAGATCTCATTCACCTTTCTTTAAAAGACATTCTCTTTACACATTTTTAACATTTTCAAAAACAAATTTATTCAATTTTGATTTATATTTTGTAACTCAATATCTTTGAAAAAAACAATAAAAAAAATTCTCCCAAACATGCTATATGTTGGACATCTGATTTTTGTTCTTTCATGTAGAATATATTTTTGTGACAATAAAAACACACAAAGTTGCTATCCATCAAAAGTCGAATAACCTTCCTTTGTACACCAGAAACTGCATCTCCCTGTAAAACAGCATACACAACGCTAGACTATCCTGTACATACCTTTCTGAACTGTTGCTCCTAGTAATACATCGGTTACGTTCTTTAGCTTAGTCTGTAGATTCTAAAAAGAAAGATAATGAATTCCATTAAGGCACTTAACAGCTTTCAGTTGGCATTCATAGTCATCATGAATGCCATATGTAAAAGAAAATTTCCAAAATTAAGAAGCGCAATAGAGTCACAGAGTGGGAAATAGAAGTATTGGATTATTACTTCAGTTTAGAAGGTTTCTGAGTTATAACCTTTAGCATGACTATGCAAGCAATTTTTTTTTTTTGTATTATTTTTATTTTTCAAAGGTATTTCTGGTACAATATGCATAAATAGATACAATTTTTATTCTTCGTTAATATACCAGTAAGTATTACCTACCTCCAACATAATACCAAACGCTCCCTGAATGTCTCCTGCCTTCTCCAGTAAATAGGCTGTTGCATTCGACAGCTTGTGCTTTCTGCATATCTGTGCATTAAAAAGATGTGATCCTATAAGCTTGCACTGAAATAACTCGACATATTGTTAACAATAGTTTAATGTTTTGTTCTGATTGTGAAAGGTTTGCTAACAGTTAGGAAAAAAGATTTTCATACTTGCCAACTCTCCCTATTAAGGAGGGAGACTCCCGATTTTGGACCCTTAAATTTGGTAGTTTCAGTAGGAGAGTTTTCTAAACTATACCGTTATTCTAAGATCTAATGATCTCATCTGAAAGAACAACTCAAAATATGTAATTTTAAAGGGTTATTTTGTCTCTATGGGGTATATACACACACTCATTTTATTTGTGTTTTAATTTTGAGCATGCAGAATCTCCTCCATGGAAATTTCAAAAAGTTGACAGGAATTAATTCTAATTGAGTCGGTGGTAGCTATTAGTGATTGCTAGTGTAACTACATCCGAACCAACACCAGAACGTACTTATAAATTCAACATCATGTCCACGAAACTCTTGCATAATGAAATTCACATTACCTCTAGTGTCTGTTCCAGTCTGTAGCCCTCGTTGAGTTTGATGTAGCTGTAGACATCGTTAGGACGATGCTGAGCCATCAGGTCGATGTACAGCTCAAAGATATGAGGCTCTACCACTACTTGTCTCTCCTGGTGGATTGCGCTGCCCATGGAATCTCTGTAAATAGTAACTTGTATTAAAGACGCACGATACCTTGTTGAACTATTAACGTAATTTCCAAAAGAGTTCCACACAGGAAACTAAAAGACTCTACCACTTCATAGTTACACAGGAATTGACGACACATTTGAAAGACATGCAAGAATTGATGACACAATATTTGACAGGTACACAGGAACTGATGACACAATATTTGACAGGTACACATGAATTGATGACACATTTGAAAGGTACATAGGAATTGATGACACATTTGACAGGTACACAAGAATTGATGACACATTTGAATGGTACACGATAATTGATGACACATTTGAAAGGTACACATGAATTGATGACACATTTGAAAGGTACACAGGTATTGATGACACATTTGACAGGTACATGATAATTGATGACACATTTGAAAGGTACTCAGAAATAGATGACACATTTGAATGGTACTCAGGAATTGATGACACATTTGAAAGACATACAAAAATTGATGATAAAAGAATTCATAATAAGCTCAGGGATTCTGAGATGATGGCTATTAAAATGTCTTCAGGGGGGGGGGGGGGGGGGGGGCTCTTACACAAATTACAGTTATAATATCTAGAAAATGTGCAAGATAGCCAATATCCCTGACTTTAACAGAAATCAGAGGTATTAGTGTACTGAAGCATATTGTAAATTTAAGCTATCATTAATTATACACTTTCTTCCAAATAAAACCTGTGGATTAATATACTTTCAAACCTACTAGCAAGACACCATTATTAACTAGTAGGCCATCACTGTTTTATCACATACCTGTAAGACATGACCCCCTGCAGGAACTCAAACAGGACGGCTGGATTGTTGTTTAGTTCTTTGACCACAGCGGACAGATTGCCGGACAGTGCCGTTATCACAATTTGAGCTGCCTGTTTACAGTCGATAGCTACCAACTCCTACAAACAAAATTGAAGTACTGAGGTTTTGAAGACATAACGAGAACACCAAATCTTCAGTCTATAGCTACCAATTTCTACAATGGAAAGTATTGAAGATACGAAGATAACAATGAGTGTACAGCCTAAATCCACCAACTCCTGCTGCAACTAGTGCAATGTAAAATATTACATGTCTTTAACATTGTTTAAGTCTATTATAGGGTTTCACATGTCTACGAATATCTATCTGAAAGAATTACACAACAAAATATCATTATTTTTTTCTTGTAATTTGATTTCAGTTCTGTAAAACTCATTTTCATCACTTTATTTAAATCATTGTGAAATTTAGGTACAAGGGTCTACACTTTTTACCTGAAGATGTTCATCCCCACAACTTACCTGTTGATGAGCCAAGCTATGTTCACATGACTTACCTGTAGATGAGCCATGCTATGTTCACATGACTTACCTGTAGATGAACCATGCTATGTTCACATGACTTACCTGTAGATGAGCCATGGCCTCCTGACGGACATCTTCCTTCTCCAGCTCAGTAAATCTCTCACTGTTCACTATACTGTTGATATAGCTGAACGAGTGATACTGAAAAAGATAACAGATATATTTTAAAATTATTCAATATTGGAGAAAAAATATAAACAAGATTTACTTCAACAGCATTACAATACTACCTCTTTACATTGAACCCTTTGAAATCCGAAAACCTTTATATAACAGATGCCTCTGTATTAAACATGGCAATTATTATATGTACACAAAACCAGCATAATCTGAAATTGTTTGGATTTGACACGTTCCACTGGATATGCCCCTATGTTTGTCAAAAACAAGTGTTTTTTCTTGAACATGATCAATAACATTTATTACAATTTTCTTTAACATCATCAACAACAGCAATGAGGAAATATCTTTTTGTATAACTGAAAAACATGCGATTCATGCAAATTTAAATTGAACTCTAGGAATTATTTACCTCTTAAGAAACGTTACACTGATGAAGAAATTTAATTTCGTTCCAAAGGTATAACTTTAAGAAAACATTTATTTCTTGGATTATCCTTCAAATAATGTCTGTTTTAGTTTTATCCTTAGAAACCTACCTTTCTAGAATAATCCCTTAGGTAACAAGACAGGATTTTACCAAACTTGTGTTGTTTTTCATAAAGGAGCTCACAGACTCGATAACTGGAACAAAAAGAAATGTAGCAGTTTTAACATTCGTCTTTGTCCAACCCATTTCACTTGATTAATAATAATTAATAATAATATGAGGTTCTTATATACCGCTTTATTACAACCTAGTTCGTAGGTCAACTCACAGCGTTTCACAAATTATTATCCGTGGTTATAGGGCCTTTGCAACCGGCCAATATCTTTCTCAACTTCCTGGGGAGCATACAGCTGGAGCTGCCATTTAGGCGCTAACAGCTAGCATTCAACAATTCTAGCGCTGCCCAACCACATACTCATTTACAGCTAAGTAGACTGGAACAAGCGCAGTAAAGTATCCTGCTCAAAGATACAACACAGTGCGGTGCCGTGACTCGAACCCGCAACCCTTCGGTCACGAGCCCAGCATCCTACAACTAGACTACTGTGCCTCCGCATAATGCTATAAACAAATTTACCGCTTAATTCTTACTTCAAAGAAACTATTCTAGCAACCAAAACAGAGAGATAATTTAAATCCAATAGCTGTGGGTTATACTTTTGAATACTCTTTATACCATACATATTTGTCGGAATATTCCTTCACATTTTTTCGTATACAAACGATTTTCATGACAAACTTTCATGCTATTGGCACATGTGAGTTCAGGTATAAACTTCTGTAGCAGCACACTCACATTTCCTATATAACCACAGAAAAAAAAAATCTATTCTCTTCCAACTCACAATTTTGCATTTTCGGCAAGATACAGGAGCCGGTCTTCGTCAATCTGTTGCAGTCCCCCAGCATGCAGTAGTTCCATTAGTGCCTGTTGTCTCTCCTCGTGGCGAGACTCGTCAGACGGGTTTGACAGGAACTCTAACACCTGTTGATACATTACTCTCAAATCAATGGAAACAAAACGTGTCATCAACAGACCTGTCTATAACGACCACTCAATAGGCAAAGCAAAAGTGTTATCATGGACGAATTGTCTTTCCAGACAGTTTTTAATCACACAGGAAAGTTGGAGAATACTCATATCTATGAGAGTTGCTATGAATAAACTGAAATAACTTTTTCCTTTTCATATAAATCCATGTACGTCTCTGTTTAAAAGAAATATTCTAGAAAACTTCTAAGTAAAGCATCATTGTGAAGTACACTGCAATATAATACAGTACATCTCTTTATTTTCATTCAGTTTCATTATTGTTTCGAATGACTTATTCATAGGGATTAGAGTTAAAAACAGAGGTTGCAAGATCTTTATAATTTGCTGTTAACAAGCATCTTTAAAATAAATGTGAAATATTTCGATTTGCGATTGCATCTTCTCAAATCAATGTTTTTAATGCGACACCTTTATAAATGTTTGATAAGGATAGTACGATACACTTAATCTTCTTACACAGTGATTTGTAGTTACCTGGGCCGATTTCGTTTAACAGTTGAACCGGTCAGACCACAGTTGTTCGTTTATTAAATAAGGTCGGACCTAGTAATATAATCTGATGCTGCTTTCAGGCGAGCCTTGACAAAGCCTTGCAAGGCCTGCATAAACATTTGCAGGTCCGCCAGGATTTATACCCGAAATTGTTACATTTAAAAACGAACAAACCGGTTGTTCCGCATAAACGAACAGGCCCCAGGTATGTGTTTTACAGTAAAGCAGGACACCAACCTGATCAAACAGCACACGGTTGACGACGATGGTGTTTTCATGGCGTGCCATCTGTCTGGCCAGGAAGGTAAACAGGATCCCTACCTGTGTAGGCTGTTAGGGGAGATAACTCAGAGTTGAAGGGAGATCAGTCACAAAAACATCGTACACACATATCTTATGGTGATATATCTCGTAAATATTTAAAGTCGAATTATTAGAATTAAGTCAAAGCAGAGGTTAAAAAGGTGTTATCAACTAACAAATACACTGAATTCAGGGGAGACGAACAGAAATAATATCAGGGGAAATAACTCTTATTTAGACAAAACAGATAACTGTTGGATACGTCGGCGAGACAATAATTCGCGAAGGACAATCCTAAATCAATATTCCGTAACAGGATGCATTCTTTTTTCACAGCAACATAAAAGTTTTTTTTAGATAAATCCAAAATTGTTGGACCTTATTGTGGCTCAAACAGAACTTGATAAGGTTAATTTACCGTGAAGCCGACACTCTCCACCATGACCTGTAACAGGACATCCACCATTCTCTGCCTCTTCTGTACCCTAAATAGCAGAACAATCAAAATGTGTATCAACTATATGTTTGTTAGTGGTCAACTACATATTGTTGATGATACAAGAGTGTAAATGGAGTCGAAAAATGCAACTGCAAGACCTGAATTTGAACTTGGGACAGCCACTTTGACAAACTGAGATACCTGGTCAACTGCGATTGACCCTGTCAATTTTTTCTGTGTAGGTGTATTTAGTTTCATACCATTATATCTCTCCTATCACTTTGATGTCTGTTTGTTTCTTAAAGGGACAATTTAGTCATGTAAGTTTTTTTGATTACCTGAAAATCAAGTCGATACTGAAAACATATATCTCCTTAGGAAAGTTCACATAGTAGATAATGACATAACCTGAAGCCAACGACCAGTGTGGTCAGTTTCATCTTTTTGGAAAGCTGGTGATAAAAAAAGCTACGACGCGCAATATCCGGGCCTTTCAGTGAGAAGTAAACATGTACAGCACTACGCTGTCGACCGACAACACATTGTTAGTTATGAGTTTGAGTTCATTCTTGAATTTACACAATACATCGCAAGTAAGAATTATAAATATCATAATATATACCTCTAATCAGATATGTCTGTTCACATTTGGATTTAAATAAGAGGGAACAGTTTCGATTAGAGCATGCACGCACTGAGATGGTGCCGCAGGGAGAATTTCAAACTGCAGAAAGTACAATATGAATAGGTTTAAACGTAAAATAGATCACTCATTTATAACGATGTTTTGGATGCTGTTGGAAGATGATTTTGATTAAAAATATATGCATATACATGTATTCAGAGAGGCTAGGCGAATAAAACAAGAAGTTACTTTCTCTCCTCGGCTGGACATTTTTGTTAGCTAGAAATTCACAGACAGCTGCTGCTAAAACGTACGGCTGTACAGTTAAGGATTTCTCAATTACTGATTAAAAACGCCAAGAAAACATTGTCTATTTCTCGACATGAATTGTTCATAAGGAGTATCAAACTATATAATCATGAAGAGTTTTGTGACAAGGTTATAAAAAAAACTTACTTCACTAAATTGTCCCTTTAAGTCAAAACATCACATGCAGACATTATGTGCATACAACCTAACTAACTCACCCTTGGTCGCTGTTGAATTCTGATTCTTCAAAGGCCTACAATATATCAAGTTAAAGTCAAAATTCATGTGAATGAAAACTTCACTCAAAATTTACCTCGCCAGAACTTCATTTTATTAGTAATACATGCATATTTCTGTTTTGCATTTCTTAAATATGAAAATGAATCTGATAAGAGAATATTTGGCAGATATTCTCATGGGTTGTCAGTTGGTTCAGTGGATAACGCACTTGCTTTTCATCAAGACGGCCAGGGTTCGATTCCCTGATCAGACGCAGAAAGGTATCGGGTCACCTTCCCAAGCATGTGGGTTTTCTCCAGGTACTCCGGTTTCCCTCCCCACATTAAAACCCCCTGGGCACTAACATCCAGGCCAACAAGAGTGATTAATGTCAATTATATAACTTATTTCATAATAGTTGCAAAACAAATAAAGTTAATAATATTTTTATATTCTCAGGAAACCTAAATTTATATTTAGTCTGCAGCAGTAAAATTGTTTAGAGTTTTAGAAAAAAAAGTTGACTGACAGCAAGATACAATATGTAAACTAGGTTTAAGATATTAAGAAATTAAAAGCATTACTCCCAGATACACACTGCAATCAACAAAACTTAACTTTAAAGAATAAATAACGTTTATTACCAGTGCCAGGACATTGAGGAACTCTCGAGTGTCAAACTGTAACAGTGTCCTCAGATGAGGATAGGCTGGCTCATCTGGACAGGTTAACGAGATAAAAACACAGGTAAAACCTTTTTCTCAGGTAAAACACACTAAGTAAAGTATCACTAACAGTGTACTCAGATGAGTATAGGCTGGCCATCCTCTGGACAGGTTAACGAGAAAAACACAGGTAAAACACACTAAGTTAAGCCTTACTAACAGTGTCCTCAGATGAGGATAGGCTGGCTCATCTGGACAGGTTAACGAGATAAAAACACAGGTAAAACACACTAAGTTAAGCCTTACTAACAGTGTCCTCAGATGAGGATAGGCTGGCCATCATCTGGACAGGTTAACGAGAAAAACACAGGTAAAACACACTAAGTTCAGTCTTACTAACAGCTTCATTTATAGGTATGTTGCCAGTTAATTTGTGAACGATATACCGTCTGATAGCTAATTTAGTCAAACTATTACATATGTTTTCTCCAAATCTGTTAAAAAAGGGGGATTTGTAATGGTTATATATTAGGCAGAATTAAAAAAATTAAGAGGGGATTTAAATATGTCTTGATCTGGAAAAACTACTTCTAACGACGAGATAATTCATTGCCTGTGGTATAAGACCTACCATCTGAGTACTGTTTTGTATGTAAACAGGCGACACACTGGTAAACCTGCAATAGAGAAAAGAACAGGTCAGTATACGTAAAGACAGAAGAAATAAGGAAAAACACTGCAGTAAAGTTTTCCTATTCCAATTTAGATTTCATAAGTCTCAATGACACAACAATCTCTTTCTATGAAAAATGTGAAACAAACATCTTCGTTATTTTTTAAAGAGTAGAATTACAAGCATAAACACATCCCCGATACTCCAGGGGTTACGCTCACTTACGCTCTCTGCACCCCTTGGAATATGTCATGGTAAAATTTAAGGATCACAGCTTGCTATTTGATCGCTAGGCAAATACGTATACTTGTCCTTTAAAGATTACAGAGGAGCGATACCTGACTTCAAAGCCAGTCAGTTTTACAGTTACACGACCGACAGATTCCATTGAAGAACATCAAAGGAACAAACGAGAGTTCTTGCCTCATACACAAGGTGGTGCACACTCAGCTTGCGATATTGTCATGACATATTCCAGGGGTGCAGACCTTAAGTGAGTTAAACTTCTCTAGAGTATTGAGGATGGCATAAACATCAATCTTTCATATTATGAGCTCATTTGCATGATCAGGTCTTGTACTATTTTTCTGCTACAACTTACAGAAGTAAGAGGGTAATTTTTCACACAAAATTGTGTGAATTTTTTATAAAACAAAGTGGGAAAATCTGAAGCCTTTTATTCTTAATTCAATGAAAACAATCATAACAGGCATTTTTGCTTCATTAGTGACACAATTTTTGAATATTAAAGTGAATCAATAAAAGATGTAAACGTTTAAATATTATTCACAATCGAACACACTATGAGAGCTTCCTTACACTTTCTTTAACTTCTGTCACGAAGTCATCAGCTATATCTCCCAGTGGATAGGCTCGGCCTGCCAAACAGCAACTGTAGTACAAAATTTGAAGCTAAGTATTAAAGTTAAAGTTAGTTTCCAGTACAGGAGCCGATAGAACTCCTCAACACTGAACTCAACATTAAACGACTGTAGTGTAAATGTTTTTTAATCTGTAGACAAAAATAAAAACATTTTATGTCAATGGTTATCGAGTGTAAGTTTGTAGTGTAACAAATACCAGTGTAATTAATTGGGCTGAAATGACGTTTGACTATATTATCTTGTAGAGTTGTTAATTACTTACCTGATATACACAAGCAGTTTGTTCCCAAGCCTAATCTGATTGTCTGTAAGGAACACAAGCGCATGATTAAAGTCCTCCACCGTGATGTAAAGGTATATATAATTACATCTTACTATGTCTTGAGAAAAAAAAAGAAAATAAAATCAGAATTGCAAAATTGCCTGAAACCTTTTATCAAATATGCCGACATTCCACTCATTTTTCACGTTAGGTCTGGACATTGCCATTTTACAACCATAAACCAAATTTGGTGAAAATCTATACTACATAAGAAATGTTTTAGCCGGCTAAGGATCAGCTTGTAACCCCCTAGGGGGAGATAGCCTCCTGCCGATTAGCACGTGTTCAATCGTGATGTCATGAAAATGTGTCAACGGTAATTGTGACATCATTAAAAGTGTGTGGCGATATTCAAACGCCACATGTGGGTTTTTTCACATACAGACTTCTGTTGGCAGAGCCTCAGGTTAGACCACCAAAAAACATCACCCCTCGGGTTGGAGATTTCTCTGTCACACCCTCAAGGTATGAGAAGATTCTATTAATCTATGAGCTTAGGCTTCATACTGTCACACCTATATATACAATGACTGAAACCCATGAATATTCAGAGGAGTTATTGTCTGGAATGCCTGACAAAGATTCAAAGAAATTCTTGTAACCTAATTAAATATGCATCAATTCTGCTCATCTTTTAACCTGAGCATTGTCATTATGCAAACACAACCCAATATTTGGAAAAGTTATTTTCATGAAAGCATTAATTTTGTCACAGACAGATGACCCCAAATTTTTGTTGTTTTCAATGCTGGGGACTACAAGGAAATTTTCCCAATGAAACCCAGACCAAAAATAGTTCACAATAAGTTTCTGTTTAGAATATTTTTATGACGTTGAGAAATTAAAATGTTTTGCATTTAAAATAAGAATATCATGTTATCTTAACCTCAGAGAAAATTTGATCACAGAGGATTTGTATTTACCCGACAGCTGTTTGCCGGTGTCGACAGCCGCCCTGAGTGTGGAGATAAGGTCCTCTAACGGTGTAGTGTAGTCATTCATCCCTCGGTTGTACACGTAGATAATGGCGTCATACAACCCGTGTCCCCAACACAGACTCACCACCTACAACAGCCCACAAAACATTGCTTGTTGATTTTGAGACTTTGATGAAGACAATATCAACTTTTTATCAATAACAACACTATTCACGTTATTTCACTCAGTGTCTGTTGTATGTTATAACTTTGAAGGGAAGGACACAAACTGTTTGTAAGCGAAACTACACTATTTTTTCAAAATAATGTCAAGTAGTGAATGCACCTCCATAGTATATAAATGTAACAGGAAAAAGAATAGTGCATCTCCACCAGAACTATAAATTATAAATATTTATAGCTCCTTGTAATATTTTAGCTTCTGGATATTACAATATTTTCCCATTAGTCAGCATCATTCAAAATGTTAAATGTAGGTTCTTCTTCAGCTAACTTTTTATTGCCTTTCAGATCCGTGGTTCAATTTCCTGTCAGGATACCTATCAGGTGTATGTTCAGACTTTTAACATTGATGTGGTATATATATATCTACAAAGTTACCTCCCCTTTACAAGGAGTAATTTGTACCTGGTGTATGTCCAGACTTGTGATTTCGAGGTGGACGATACATGCTTCAACATTTTCCAGCATGCCTTTGCCCTCATAGTTATCCACAAAGTCCTTCATCACAGTGGGAGGGATCGAGGTGAGCTTGTCCACCAGGATGTACGGCTCCAAACACTCGAGGAAGACACCATGGGCAATCATGTCTGCCGAAAACCTCTCAAAAATCCGTCCAAACAGAATATCGCTGTAAAGATAACGTGATTATAAAGGACATAGTAAAACTGTTTTTGCAGATGACTGATGTCTAATGCACAATGAATTTAAATACCGACATTCATGTAATAATAATAATAATTTGAGGTTCTTATATACCGCTTTATCACAACCTAGTTTGTAGGTCATCTCAAAGCATCACAAATTATTATCCGTGGTTTTAGGGCCTTTGCAACCAGCCAATATCTTTCTCAACTCCCTGGAGAGCATACAGCCGGAGCTGGCATTTCGGCGCTAACAGCTAGCATTGTACAATTCTAGCACTGCTCAACCACGTACTCATTTACAGCTGAGTAGACTGGAACAAGCGGAGTAAAGTATCTTGCTCAAGGATACACCACCGAGCCGTGCCATGACTCGAACCTGCAACCCTTCGGTCACGAGCCCGGCGTCTTACCACTAGACTTCCGTGCCTCCGTACTTTTTTGTGAAGACTTTATATAGGATAAATGTCTTCCCCCATTCAATACCAAACATATTTCAGAGAATGGCAAAATATTGATATTTTTCAGGAGCGTGAAAGTCTTGCCAAGCATAATGGCTTATTTTCAGGAACTGAATTTAACTTCTATTGTTATTTTTATTAATGAAATGATATGAGTCGGTTCAATTAAGAAGATTGACATCTTGTTGCACACGTAAATGATTTATATCAGTTTGAAATTGATATCATAGGTATAGACATAACCATTTAAAACCATTACTTAACCCTTTCTCCCCTATGCAAATTTAGTAAACTCTACCATGCATTGATCTAGATGAGTCCATTATGGTCTACAGTGGTGAAAGTGTTAACAGATCATTTTTGTTTGTAGACAAGTGCACAGTTTATAATTTATACATACGTTCTGTCGAGGTGAAGGCAGTAATCTACACAGACCGGAACTATCCCCTGTAAATTAAATCAAACAGATTAAACAGATTCAGTTCTAAATATTACATATTATTTATAATAAGATGGATCCCGTTCGATCACATCAGTGTTTGTGACCTATTAGTAAAGCTGCAAACAGATCAAGAATGAAAATATTACAAAAGATGCATCATCATCAGATCTATTACAAATGTCTTACCTGGTAGTGCTCCTCCAGTTCATCATCAGATCTATTACAAATGTCTTACCTGGTAGTGCTCCTCCAGTTCATCGTCAGATCTATTACAAATGTCTTACCTGGTAGTGCTCCTCCAGTTCCTCAATCTTGCCTTGTTCGGGACACAGCGCTGTCATGGAGAGGTCAACAAAATCAAACAGCAGGTCCAGCATCTGTTACCATGGAAACCAAGCAAATTCATGAACAAATGGCTTTTTAATTTACAGCCAATCAGGAATGAGGAACTACCTAACAATTAAAGTAAGATTCAAGGATTCCGCTAAAATCTAAACTGGACATCCTTAATTAGTTCAGCTACTGTGGTCAAAAGTAGTGAGTAGTTTGAGTAATGGTGGCAACAAATAGTACAAGTGATCCTATCCAATATTAATCTCAATATGATCATGTACTTTAAGTGGCTAGACCTCTCGTGTATCCTGGTTGAAACGGTACATGTGGCGCAGAAATATTCCACAATAAACGAATGTACTTGGACCGTTCTATAAGCAGAGCTAAAAATGCACTGTTTCGGAGAATAATAAACAATGTATCAAGAATATTATGCCCTTCTCTCACGCGTCCACTGAATTACATAACGTATCTTAAAAACTACATGTGGCTTGACATTGTTCTAGAAAGAAATAACGCAAAAATAAATAAAAAAAATAGTCAGCATTTTAGTTTCTGTCAGATACATCTGGACCCCTCAATCTACACGTGCCAAATTTTCCTGTGGTCAGCCTCGGTTCAGATCTGTACCTGTTGTTTGTTGTTTTCTTTACATGAATCCATGTAGCTATTGTTAATTCCCTAAGATTGACCAAACTTTGTTTCTTTTCCTGAGACCGATTCAAATTCATGAGAAATTTGTCTTGCGCCATAAAGAATTTTTTTCTAAAGTAATTTTTGTGAGTCTCATGTCAAATCGTTAGATATGGCGTATATGACATACTGTGAAATCACTAATTTTCTTGGGGTTTTCAACTTCATTGATTTTTGGGGTAATCTTCACTCATGAATTCATAGGTCCATGAAGTAACTACAACTTTGATATAACGCAATTCTCCGTTTGAGTGGGTACTCGTAATCCACAGTCATGTACCCACGAAATGGTGTTTTGTCAGGAAATCCCAAATTTTAGCCCAATGAAAATATCTGATTTCAGAGTGTTTAAAATGTAAGAGAGTAACTGTTTGGTATTGGAACGGACATTTCCACAGCTGTAGTCCAGAGCTTGCACTTCAGTCCTGGTATATTTTACCTTGACCTTTAACCTTTATACACTCACAGAGTGATCATGAGACACAACTATTTGTTTCCTGCAGTGAGATTCCCCCATCAACACCACTGAACTATGACCTCGAAGAAGTGACCGTGAACTCTGCCTTCCGTACCTAAATACATACTTACAAGGTGAGACACCATTTCCTGTTTTTTGCGGTGAGACCCGGTCAGTCCGACCACACCTTTGGCCTTCCCCTCGTAGAAGGACAGGGCGAGCACTAGGGCGTCTTGGTATCGGTTCTGTTTCACCAACACATCTATTCTCTGTCAACAGTTATGTAATCAAATGAAACATAAGGTAAACTCATCAATTCTATCAGCAAAAAGATAAATAAAGTATTACAAGACATCACAACTTAATTTTTGAAGAAAAAAAAGTTTTTCAAATTGTGATAAGAGTAAACTGCTTATTTGTTTTGGATAAATAACAAGTATGAGATTTTCAGTACCTTAAAACCCTGCTGGTTTTTTGGTTTAAATGATTCTGTTTCTGAAAACTTACAGAAACAAATGTTGTATGAATACTCCAAGTATTAAAACCAAATGTCCATACTTACATCTCTCCAGTTACGCAGAGCGTATACATGGACCGTCTTTGTTCCGAGTAAGAACAGCTGACCACCATGACTGACCAATGTCTGGTAACACGCCCGTTCACCAGCAAAGGCCTACAACACAATCTACTGGTCAGTGACATTCATGAGATATTCAAATGAAAAAGACGATAAAATTAATGAACTTATCAAAAATCTCTTGGAAAGGAAATTAGAGACCTACACAAAATTACCCGCAATTGTTGAAAAACAAGAAATGTTGAGGTTTACCAACAAAGCAGTCTTGCATCAAGAAATTAGAGTCCCGTTTTGTAGAAATCGTAAGAAAAGCTACTTACCAAAGCCTGGCTAACATTTCCACCATTGGCTAGGGACTTGAAGAAGCTCGTATTGTAGACCATCTGTACCTCGGACACATCCAGTACCTGTAGATCAAATAGAGTTCAACACACTATACCGACTCCCTTCTGTTAAGTTTTATCATTATGAAACAATTATTATACAGTATACATAGTAATACATTCCAGACCATTCTATCAGATGTTTCTGATTAAATGACTGTATGTGTACAGATGTATATCATTTCAGGCAACTGCCTAGATCAATTTCTATAATGGACCAGCCTAATTATGTAAAGTTCCAATTATTTTCCCAATTTTTATTTTAAACATTTGTTATGTCACTTGCACCGGAATATTTTTTTATGGATGAAGTCAGTATTTCTGTAGTAGTACTATAGAGAAAGGTATTTCTGCAATTTTGCGGGTCATTAATGTGATCGCAAAGATATGATCAGCAGAATAATATGACAAGCGTAAAAATGAGCTTCAAATAAACTTCATAATCGTAATGTTGTAATCAAATAGCGAGTATGAACTCGGTAGTCTAGTGGTAGGACGCTGGGCTCGTGACCCAAGGGTTTGCGGGTTCAAGTCACGGCAAGGCACTGTGTTGTATCTTTGAGCAAGATACTTTACTCCGCTTGTTCCAGCCTACTCAGCTGTAAATGAGTAGGTGGTTGGGCAGTGCTAAAATTGTTGAATGCTAGCTGTTAGTGCCGAAATGGCAGCTCCGGCTGTATGCTTCCCAGGGAGTTGAGAAAGGTATTGGCTGGATGTAAAGGCCCTATATATAACCACGGATAATAATTTGTGAAACGCTTTGAGACGACCTACGAACAGTCTAGGTTGTGATAAAACGGTATATAAAAACCTATTATTTATTATTATTATTACTCATATAATAGTTAGTTCCTTCAAATATCTAGATTACGAAATTATAATCCGTGTGAATTCAATTTTCCGATTTTGTATCAAAATCATGAAAACTTAAGCCTGCGTGAATGATCCGCAATATGGTTACGTACAATATTCTCCTGAACTTTGCTTTCACAAGCATCTAATAGCTTTATTCCAGAAGACTGGATGAAGAGGTCTTTCCAAGAAAGGTGAGTATATCACAGTCGTAAACCCCTTAATGCTTATCACCAACTTTTCTAGAGGTATTTTCCCTTTAGCAGCTCACTATTAGAAGAACACGCGACTATTTATCATGATCAGTAGCCCTGGTTTTGACTTCTTGTGGGGGGTACTTAGAACAAAGTGCTATTGATTATATATATATATAGATACATTCTTGCTTTTTCATAATTCCCCCAAAAAATATTCAAAGCATTATATGGTGAAACTCATTAAAATTACTGTGAAATGTAATCAAACTTTTTAATGTCAAGAAAATCTTACAACTATTTTCCCAGTCTTTTTACAATGACTGAAGTTAACATGGTAATTAACACAAACCTCGATCTCATCTTCTGATCTCACGTCGATCACATGCATCTTTTCTGTAGTATCCATGACGACAAGTGTTCGTGTATTCAGCCACTGCAAAAAATGAATAAATTTTGTCATCACATTATCATACTCTTGATACCTCATGTTGTACAAGGGGGCTCTAACTCCTGTGTAATACTCGTATAACACATTCATTCAATTTTGGCTTTAAATTCTGGGGGAATTCACCCCCAATCTCAACATAGTTTTATATTAGTGTGGGGATGCGGCTTCTCTTGTATCACAGGAGTCTAGCTGCTTCTCTGGGATGCGGCTTCTCTTGTATCACAGGAGTCTAGCTGCTCTCATCATGGCTTCTCTAGGGGTGTTCACAACCAGAGCCTAGTCGCTTCTCTGGAGACATTTTCAGAGTCTAGCTGTTTCTCTGGGATGCGGCTTCTCTTGTATCACAGGAGTCTAGCTGCTCTCATCATGGCTTCTCTAGGGGTGTTCACAACCAGAGCCTAGTCGCTTCTCTGGAGACATTTTCAGAGTCTAGCTGTTTCTCTGGGATGCGGCTTCTCTTGTATCACAGGAGTCTAGCTGCTCTCATCATGGCTTCTCTAGGGGTGTTCACAACCAGAGCCTAGTCGCTTCTCTGGAGACATTTTCAGAGTCTAGCTGTTTCTCTGGGATGCGGCTTCTCTTGTATCACAGGAGTCTAGCTGCTCTCATCATGGCTTCTCTAGGGGTGTTCACAACCAGAGCCTAGTCGCTTCTCTGGAGACATTTTCAGAGTCTAGCTGTTTCTCTGGGATGCGGCTTCTCTTGTATCACAGGAGTCTAGCTGCTCTCATCATGGCTTCTCTAGGGGTGTTCACAACCAGAGCCTAGTCGCTTCTCTGGAGACATTTTCAGAGTCTAGCTGTTTCTCTGGGATGCGGCTTCTCTTGTATCACAGGAGTCTAGCTGCTCTCATCATGGCTTCTCTAGGGGTGTTCACAACCAGAGCCTAGTCGCTTCTCTGGAGACATTTTCAGAGTCTAGCTGTTTCTCTGGGATGCGGCTTCTCTTGTATCACAGGAGTCTAGCTGCTCTCATCATGGCTTCTCTAGGGGTGTTCATCAACCAGAGTCTAGTCGCTTCTCTGGAGACATTTTCAGAGTCTAGCTGCTTACTTCTCTGAGCTGTGTAGGTGCTTCTCTGAAGACATTTTCAGAGTCTAGCTGCTTCTCTCAATACCCCCGGAGTCTAGCGTATTAAATATATGGCAGTAAAATTGTTGGAGTGAGTAGCCCCTGATGTGCCAAATGTATTACTGTATGTAAATATGTTGCTAACAAGAGTAATAAACAGGTTAACTGTTTCTTGTACGTGTGTTAGTTGTATATGAAGTACATTTTAATGTATCTGAGAAAAAACAATAAACTTATGAAAAATGTAAAGGAATAGCCAGGACTATTTTTTGGGGTTATACAGTATGCAAAGCAGATTATGCACAAAAGTGCATAACCTTTTTTTCGGTATATACTGTATTACCCCAAAAATAATCATGGTTATCCCTTATAATTTCATTTTAAAAGCCAGACAACATTTTATCAGTTCAAAGGAAATGAATATTTATTCTTATCTGACAAAAACAAAATAAATCTGCACAAAACTCAACATTGCACAGTAATTGCATCACCAAGCAACTCCAACCAATCAGAAGTTAGAATTACAAATGCTGCGCCAAACACTGCTGTTTACCGCGTCATCACTTTCTGTGTTGTCTGTTTTAAGGTTTTATCACATAATGTACTGTGTTATCCAGTGAATACACCCATGTCATATGTTTTTTGCATATTTACCCATATAATATGACCTATCAGCCCTGTGATTGGTTGTAAGTTTCAATTGTTTCAATTGTGACGTCACGCCAAGGACAAGTACATGACGTCACACACTTATGCACTGGAGTCAAAATGGCAGCTTTTTACATTTAAAGGTTGCATGAAAATTGTCGTTTTACACGAATAAATGCCACAAATCTTAATTATGTGATAAAAGGGATCTTACACTCGTTTTCATTTCATATGAAATTTATGAAACTCGTCACAAATTTTTCATTTTAGCTCGCCAGAGGCCTGCTAAATTGAACAAAAGGCCCATGGGCCTTAACGGTCACCTGATATATTTATACAGAGAGTTGATTTTGTTTTTAACATGAACAGAAATATTATTCAAAGTGACAAAAAACAATAAAACCACCTTACTCAATATCTAGCATACAGATTTCAGACTAAAAAGGATTTGAAACTAGCACCTCTGATTCTTAACAAGGAAAATGAAGAAATTTTAGCACACTGACTCCTTTGAGCCCCACCCTACAGCCCTTGGGGGTAGGGCTGGCTCAAAATTTTCAAAGTATCAAACTGTCAATTCAAGGTTATAATTCCAATCAAGTTATTA